CGACATGCATTCTAGAATGGCTGTCTTCAAACAAAGGTGAGACTCATTTACTCCCCTGGTTTCGGCTGTGATTGTTCAATCCCTTTCCATAATCTGTAGCCTGGGTTCACTGCTAGACTACTTTTTACTGTTCCAGTTGCAAAATATATGTCTCAACGGAATATACTAACCGAGAAGGTTGAAATCCCACGAGAAGACGACATGCTAGCGGCCAGCTCTACCTTTTGCCAACGTGTGAATCAAGGCTGCATCGATCGGCTAACTAATGAGATCAATGAGTTTCTTTATTAGGACCTCAGATTGATTCCCAAGTTTTCTCATAGCTAGCAACTCCCTCCATCCGGGTTTATTAGGCCGACCAATAAATTTAAGTATGTCACAAAAATTATATTATCGGAAAGCTCTTTCAAATACAAATCCAACAGTGTACTTTTTGTACCATATATTTTATATTTTACTAGGAATATGGATGGTCAAAGTTTGGCTCAAAATAGTGGGGGGCCTAATAAACCTGGATGGAGGTACTAGCTAGCAAGTCTAATTAGTGAGTAATATATTCAGACCTGCAGTCTCCATCTTAATTACTCCCTCCGTTCCTAAATACTTGTCTTTTTAGAGATTTCAACAAGTGACTACATACGGCGCAAAATGAGTGAATCTACACTTTAAAATATGTCTACATACATCCGTATGTTGAGTCCATTTGAAATGCCTAGAAAGACAAGTATTTGGAAACGGAGGGAGTAGTTTATTACTTAACAATGCCCTCAAGACCTGCACAGAAAGCAAGGTCAGATCCGTGGAACACATGATACTAGCAAAAATGTTCCCTTCATATACTAGCAAAAATGTTCTGTAGGTAATGTTGTTATTATTGTTTTTTCATCAACATACACCATGTTATTTACGGAGCAATTATAACTGTTGTGCACTTCTCCTTGGCACACTACTTATGTAGTTATTTCTCAATTGATTTTCCTTGCTAACAAGTATTTTGTTTGTACTTCAGTGTAAGCAATTTTAAGTTGGTTAAGATGTAACACAACTTGAGCCATTGTTTCACAACAACCCACTGGCATTTGATATTGAGTTTGAGAATTTTTATTATTATTGTAGATCAATGGTATTCTACAACCTCAAATCTGAGCAAGTACACATTCGGTCATCTATTCTGACGCAGTGCAGAATATTTGTCCCTTAGACCACAATGTGTACTTGTATTACTGGCCAGAACGCATTGAGATTTTTTAAGATAATAAATATCACCCCGAAGTTTTGAAATATTTGTACTGCCTTTTCTCTCTCTCTCTCTCTCTCTCTCTCATGTCTTTCCTCGATATCTTTTTTAGTTATCATGATGTGAGTCTTTGTGGGAGTCTTTTTAGGAGGCAAAAAGAGGTCATGTTCCATATCAATCATAATTTATATCTCCGCGCTTAATACCACAACTCAAACATTAGACCTAAGGAGAAAACTCAAAATACTACTCCCTCTCCCATAATAAGTATCTCGACTATGTACTAACTTTAGTACAAAGATTATTAAAGTTGAGACACTTATTTTGAGACGGAGGGAGTACTTTTTTGCAGATCAATCGGACTGGATTTCTCTTGAGTTACATAGCATTATATTCTTGATTTCTCTCTTTAGTTACATCCCATCATATTCTATAAAATGGAGAGACAAATACAATATATAAAAGCATTGCAAACAAATGTATACACGTTACTTCATATCTCTAACAACTCTTTTAAGTAAAAATAGACGGGCGCAGCAACGCGCGCCATCAATGATCTAGTCTTAACTTATGTCAAGTCACTTCTCCACTTTTTACCCCGAAAAAATGTTAGCACTAATCATGTCATTAGGTATCTTCATGTTGAATATTGCATGTAGCTAAGTGTAGTCAGTGCCGGCAAGATGTATGAGACGTACAAAGACGGCGAGTGGTTGGCATAGCTGCAGAGGATGCACGGAGAGATGTAGTGCCGTGACACGCAGCGTACACGTGAGATGCCGAGAGGGCCGTGAGGGCTAGAGCAGAAACATGTAGCCACTGTATTCACCAAGGACGGAGCCTCTCGGCAAAGCTAGCGGATGGTCTGTTCCTTGATGTATTTGTGTGTGTGTGTAGTGTGCGTTCAGGTGTTCTTGAGAGAAACCATAGAAGAGAGAAGAGAGAGTTGTGCGAGGCAGCTCGAGGTAGAAGAAGAAGAAGCGGCGCTGCGAGAGGGCGGCGCCAACAATTGGCATCAGAGCCTTGTTGATCCGTGGCGGTAACGACGGTGCCGGCGGCTATGGTGGCCGGCGTGGCGGTGGGCCGGCAACGGCAACGGCGACGCGGCGGACTCCCTGTGAGGTGGAGGACGTCCGAGCGAGGTGGAGGCCGTCGGCGGTGAGACGCCGCTGGTGGCCGGTTGCGGTGTGATGCCGCTAGGAGGAGACGGCGATGCGATGCTGCCACGACGATGGTGCGATGCCATCACAAGGAGACGTGGTGCGACGCTGCTCAGAAGTTGTACGGCGTCGCGAGGTCGTCGAGGATCGGCGTGAAGCTGGTCGACGGTGGTGTTTAGGGTGGTGTGATGCCATCCGCAAGATGGGACGCTGCGCCGACGTGGTGATCGGCGTCGCGACAGCGTCGTCCACGTCAAGGGGTGGCATATGCGTGTAGCATGACGGCCTAGTGACTGGCGCTACGAAGGCGTCATCCACGGCAAGATGTTTATGGTGACCGGCGCTGCGATGGCGTCGTCCACCAAAGGATGTAGAAGAAGAAGCAGCGGCTCTGCGAGAGGCGGCGCCAACAAAAAACCAAGACATATATATTATGCCCCCTCCTTCCCAACAACTTGTCCAATCTAACACTAGAGAGGAAATTTATCAATATGTATAATGCCGCTTGAATTTATCAATATGTATAATGCCGCAAGCCACCGTGTCGATCTGTCAATAGTTCAGAACAAGATGTATATATGGATTAGAAACACTCCTACTAGGAAGATATATTTAGTCACTTTCTAGATAGTTTGGGGATTAAAAATCATGTCCTTTCATTGATTAGTATGCTCACTTTGGACAGCTATATGGTAGAAACTTAGACTATACATGTACAAAATTAATTATAAAGATAGATAAGAAACAAATAATCTCATTGGATTTGTCATTGATTTTTATTAAACAAATTATATAAAATTTATTGCAGATCTTCATTTACAAATCTATATAATAAGTAATTAATTGTTAAATTTTGCATCTACAGAACTTTTTTAACTCTAAAATACCATGTATTTTACAGCAATGAGGGCATATTTTATATTCCCTTGTGAAGGCCTTACCTATTTTACTTAGTGGGTGAACCGTTTACCTACACCCTATATTACAACAAGAGAGTGGTTTTTCTACACCCTAACTTGGTGCACCCATGCTATACCCACGCAAGAAAATATAGCAAAACTTGCCTACCAAACTGGATAACCAAAAAAATTACATGAAAAACTAATGACGATACTTTCTAACTATTGAAAACAATAAAAATATTAACCCATGAAAATATTATCAATCATAGGAAATGAACAAGAAGTATTTTAGTTTGCATGTGTGTTTAGGGCTAGATAATGAAGCTTTGGAAGCTTGTTTTCAACGAGCAATACCAACTTAAGCTCGGTTCGACTACCTAAACCCCCGAGGTTGCTCATAAACTCACCAAACTTGCCATAAATTTGGCCAACTACATAAAAACTAGGGACACGACATAAATTAAATCAGAGTTTTTCTCCTTTGAATGCCGGCTGCCAACTGGAATTAGCTTATTTGCCGTCTGCCAATTCTTTGCCGTCTGCTAGCTGACGGCAAAGAATGTCTTTGCCGTCCGCTTACAGAAAACGAATGGCAAAGAACTGGCTGATGGCAAAGAAGGTCTTTGCCATCAGCCAATTCTTTGTCGTCTGCCAGCAAACGGCAAAGAGAGAGATGGGCCCCACTAACGAGCTGCTTAGAAAAAATCTAACGGCCCCCCTTTTTGTCGTCTACTAGCAGACGGCATAGCTGGCCACGTGGCAGCTTCTCAGCGCTGGCCGATCTGAGTTCTTTGCCGTCCGCCAACGGACGGCAAAGAGCTTGGCCTCTTTGCCGTCTGCTGGCGGACGGCAAAGAACACGCCGTTAACCCCTAACGGCTCTCACCCCACCCCACTGCCGTCCAAAATCTTTGCCGTCTGCTTGGCTAAGACGGCGAACGACACAACCCTTTGCTGTTCGCTTTGATGAAGCAGACGGCAAAGAAGGCCTTTGCCGGCACTCGTTCAGTCGGACATTTTGTCGTCCGTCATCCATGCCTTTGCCGTTCGCCATGGCAGACGGCAAAGAAGCAGATTTCAGTAGTGGCAGCGGAAGGTGGCTTCAGGCATACGATATATATGCTCACCAACCTGTAGTCGAGGGCTGAATTAATGCATGTGGAGCGTGTTGTGTCATGTGACCGGAATTTCGCGGGGGTATCAAGGCTCGAAGAGTAACTCGTTTGTTTGGCATGTTTTACTTAGAGAGTGAAAAGTGCAGCTCGGCTTGACTCATCAAGCACATGCCTTCAAGCTAAATGTTCCGAGCTCTTAAGTAATCAAGAGGCCCTTGAGTTTTGTGTTTTAATTCTACCCTACTTGTGTTCTATTGTGAACCAAGGGTAATAAGTTAAAACCATACTTGAAACCAACTTGAAGAAGATATATGTGCAGTCAAGTCACCAAAACTGTTTTCATATATCATCACCACCATTACAACATAAACATTAGCACACATCCATATATCATCACCACCATTACAAAATAAACATTAGCACACAAGAGGAAATGGTACAAGAAGTGGCCTAGTTGTGTACTGTAAATTAAAGATCCCAGGAAAGTAAACAAAAGAACAGCAGATCCGCAAGAAGAAGAGAGGAAAAATCAACACCCACATTTACACCAGATAAAATTAACGTGCATACATACACACCACAAACAATTAAGCACCGCAGTCGACTGGCGGCATGGGGGAGTTGTGCGACCCTTCTTCTACGGGGAAGAACACGTGAGGGCAGGAGACCTTGATGTTGTACAGCCTCGTGGGGATCCCCCCGATCCGGAACCGCACCTGTGCCTCCACTACCACAACGTAGGCGCGGTTGCTGAGGGTTTCGTTGAAGCTGAGAAACACGTACACCGACGCGTTGATGATAGCCGGCGGCGCGCCGCGCGGCAGGTAGGCGCCGGCGGGCGGCCTCTCGTAGACCCGGGCGTTCATCGTGTCCTTCCTAGCCGTGCTTCTCTGCAGGCCGACGAAGATGCTCTGGTAGCGCACCGTCTTGCGCTTCTGGCTGGCGTTGGTGGCGGCGATGGTTAGATTCAGGTACTGGGGCTGAAATGAGAGCTCGGCACTGACATTGGCTTTGGAGACGTGGATGATGGAGAAGCGGATGTCCCCGGGGCTGAGGATGACCGAGACTATGATCACGACGACCGTGACGGCGAGGGTCCCTCCTAGAGCCGCCAGGATGTACTTCCTCGTAGTCCAAATTTTGCTGCCATCGGCCGTAGCCATGTTAGTATGCTGCACCTTAGTATTTTCAGCGGTAGCTAGTAGTAGTACAATAAATGTGGCTGCCCTGTAAGTGCTTCGCAGCATTCACGTACGAATTCGAATAAAGTGCGTAGCACGCTAGTTTCGTAATAAAGCAAAGCACTTTCTTTCAAAGTCGATTCACGCGTGTATTTACTACTCAGGGCATCTTTAATGTCGACCCTCAAATCTCCCGTAAGTCCGTAACCGTTCGGACCGTGTGGTTGTGTTATCCAACGCGGTCCTGTATCGGTTCGCATGACGGTCCGGATGCATTTTCTTCCGCAAACCAAAGACAAACGTGAGACCTTTGCAGGCGTCCGAACAGCACCTATGCCCGCTTTTGACCACCCTGACCCACCCAAACCCTTCCTCCCTCGCCCACGCACGTTCCCGCCCGGGGCTAACTGCCCGCATTCATGCCGATGTAGAGCGCCGCTCCATATTGAAGACGACGCAGTGTGGGCGCGACCTCTCACTGGCTCCGCCATTGAAGCAGCACACCGATCGAGCGTGTCGTCTACTGCACATCCGGCTGAACACGTCTCCTCACCGCATTCAAACGTCTCCGTTAAACATGCACGTGTGCCAAGAAACCTACTCCGGCAACACGTCCGTTCACGAGCATGTCGGCATTAACCACAACTTCGGGCAAGTTCATCCCGCCAGCCGACTATTTAAAGGAGGCCACAAGCGGGGCCAGAATTGCACCACTCCGCCGCTCCTCATCCTCTCCTTCCACCATCTTCTCCACCCTTTTGATGGCATCCGACGGGCAGGAAGAACAGTTCTGCGGCATAAAAGCCGACTGGGTGGCCCAACGAGCCTACCGGATACGAGCGAGGTAGCTCACTGCTCCACCTTCCTCGCCTAGCCCAACGGAGCATGTTGCTGCTCCAAGTCGGCGTGTGGTTTAGCAACTCGTCACCCAAGCCAGCTCGCGGAGGAGTGGTGAGTTTCTCCAGGCAGGCACGCGGGGGAACTCGGTGGAACGGGCATCGTCGCTGCCATGGACGAGGCCTGCCGTCGTGCCATCCACCGTCAATGTTGCCGGCATCGCGCCCGGTCGGTGGAGAAAGACGCAGAGATAGACGAGTCGGTGGCCTGCGTGTCCGCGCCCACCGTCACCGTCAGTGTCGAGGGAAAGTAAACACGGGAGGTCGCCGCTGCTTGGATCCGAGGAAGGCCACCGCCGGCACGTCGCCGGCTTGCATAGCCGGTGACTTGCCCGGTTCTTTAGCACAGACCATCATCGACCCTCGCCTCAGATTCAGGGAAGCGGGGTCGGCACCCTTCCCCTTGGCTGAGCACCCCCTTTCCCCTCTGGCTGAAGCACCCTCTTTGCCATTCTGATGATCGGTGCATCCGGACATAAGAAAGATACCGGGGGGGGGGGGGGATATACCTCCGGGCTCTCGGCAGTCTGATGATCGAGCTGCCGGACATGAGGAAGACAAAGGGATCCGCCGTGGCCGGCCATATACTAGTGTAGTGTATATGTGTCGTGGGATGGAGCTCCGCGGGATCGTGCATGCACATAGTTTTACGTTTTTAGTCAAAATATGTCCAAAATGTAAATGTTTTTGTCCTATTTGTATGAAATCCATCGTGTTTGCATGTATTTAGTCCGGTTAGTTTAAAGAATGTTTGAAATGTATGCGAGCAGCATTGAATTGCGGCCTCACGCATCTGTGTCCGCGAACGAATGCAGAAGGAAATTTGCGGAATTCCCTTAGAGGCATGGAATCTTGCCGGTCGACCCTAATTCCGGTGTAAGTGTTGCAAATATATGTGCCAGAAAAAAACAGCAAAATACCATAGTACAAATTACTGTGAAAAGACTCTAAATGCATGAGCCCTGCATAGGATTGGACTATACTAGTAGTTTGTAATATGTGAGCCCAGCTCCATCTGCTCGTAAGGCCAACTCCACCACGCGACCCCAAAGGGACGTCCGTTTTGTCCGGATTCTGTCCGTTTGGGTAGGGTGATGGGGTCGTGTTCGGGCCTGTCCTGGGATGCGGTGGTCGTGTGCCCAACGCGCGACCGCATCCGTTTGCCCCAATCAAAATTGTTTGAAAATTAAAATAGTTTTACAACCCAATCGAAGTTGTCTCTAATAAAAATAGTTTTACAACCAAATCGAAATTGTTTTGAATGAACATAAAATGAAGCAATACATCCATTGGTTGCCAATATGATCCCACACATGCTCAACCAAGTCATTTTGAAGATCCAAATGAGTGTGCCAATCACGCAGCTCATGATGGAACTGGACAAACTGATCAAACGCGGCCGGTTCTTGGTGCAGGGGTTCAACATTGTCACCTTGAAAATCAAATCCTTGGTCGAAGATACTGTCATCATGCTCATCCTCGATGATCATGTTGTGCATGATCACACAAGCAGTCATCACCTCCCAAAGCTTCCTTTCATCCCATGACAGTGCAGGGTATCGAACGATACCCCATCGGGATTGAAGCACACCAAAAGCATGTTCCGCATCCTTTCTATCACTTTCTTGCATTTGGGCAAATCTCTTTCTCTTCTCACCTTGAGGCTTCGAGATTGTCTTCACAAAAGTTGACCACTGAGGATATATACCATCAGCTGGATATTATCCGTTGTTGTACTGGTGGCCGTTGATCTCAAAGTTGACAGGTGGGGAGTGGCCTTCTGCAAGGCTTGCGAAGACCGGAGAACGCTGCAGCACGTTGGTATCATTGTGAGAATCTGCCATGCCGAAGAAAGAATGCCATATCCAAAGATCTTGCGAAGCCACCGCTTCTAATATGACAGTGCAAGCTTTGACATGCCCCTTGTACTGGCCCTGCCGAGCAAATGGGCAGTTCTTCTACTCCCAGTGCATACAATCTATGCTGCCAAGCATGCCTGGAAAGCCTCTAGCTGCATTGGTCGCCAACAATCTCTCTGTATCAGCGGCAGTTGGCTGCCTCAAGTACTCAGGGCCAAACACCTTGATCACAGACTGGCAGAACTTGTACATTGACATCGGACATGTTGTCTCACTCATACGCACATACTCATCCACCAGATCGCCTGGAATTCCATATGCAAGCATGCGGATGGCCGCAGTGCATTTCTGGTAAGAGGAGAATCCAAGCTTGCCAAGGGCATTCGTCTTGCACTCGAAGTATGAGTCATTAGCAATCACACCCTCTCGGATACGATTGAACACATGCCTTGCCATACGAAAACGGCGACGGAATTTATCCGGCTTGAAGAGCGGGGTGTTCGCAAAGTAATCGTCATAGAGTAGGGCGTGGCCTCTCTCCCTGTTGCGGTTCAGGTTGGGAGCACGGCCAGGGACTGACCCCCTGTACCGAGGAAGCTGTCGTTGAATTTGGTCGTGAACCACCAGTGCAACCAACACAAGATCTTCATCATCCGACGACGAATCATCCGATGAACAAATGAAGTGGTGGAAGAAAAACTCATCACCATGGTGAAGGAAATATGCCCTAGAGGCAATAATAAAGTTATTATTTATTTCCTTATAATCATGATAAATGTTTATTATTCATGCTAGAATTGTATTTACCGAAAACATAATACATGTGTGAATACATAGACAAACAGAGTGTCACTAGTATGCCTCTACTTGACTAGCTCGTTAATCAAAGATGGTTATGTTTCCTAACCATAAACAATGAGTTGTTATTTGATTAACGAGGTCACATCATTAGTAGAATGATCTGATTGACATGACCCATTCCATTAGCTTAGCACCCGATCGTTTAGTATGTTGCTATTGCTTTCTTCATGACTTATACATGTTCCTATGACTATGAGATTATGCAACTCCCGTTTACCGGAGGAACACTTTGGGTACTACCAAACGTCACAACGTAACTGGGTGATTATAAAGGAGTACTACAGGTGTCTCCAATGGTCGATGTTGGGTTGGCGTATTTCGAGATTAGGATTTGTCACTCCGATTGTCGGAGAGGTATCTCTGGGCCCTCTCGGTAATACACATCACATAAGCCTTGCAAGCATTACAACTAATATGTTAGTTGTGAGATGATGTATTACGGAACGAGTAAAGAGACTTGCCGGTAACGAGATTGAACTAGGTATTGGATACCGACGATCGAATCTCGGGCAAGTAAACATACCGATGACAAAGGGAACAACGTATGTTGTTATGCGGTCTGACCGATAAAGATCTTCGTAGAATATGTAGGAGCCAATATGGGCATCCAGGTCCCGCTATTGGTTATTGACCGGAGACGTGTCTCGGTCATGTCTACATTGTTCTCGAACCCGTAGGGTCCGCACGCTTAAGGTTACGATGACAGTTATATTATGAGTTTATGCATTTTGATGTACCGAAGGTTGTTCGGAGTCCCGGATGTGATCACGGACATGACGAGGAGTCTCGAAATGGTCGAGACATAAAGATTGATATATTGGAAGTCTATGTTTGGACATCAGAAGTGTTCCGGGTGAAATCGGGATTTTACCGGGTTACCGGGAGGTTACCGGAACCCCCCGGGAGCCATATGGGCCATCATGGGCCTTAGTGGAAAGGAGAAAGGGGCAGCCCAAGGGGGCTGCGCGCCTCCCCCCTTCCCCTAGTCCTATTAGGACTAGGAGAGGTGGCCGGCCACCCCTCTCCCTCTTTCCCCCTTGGGAATCCTAGTTGGAATAGGATTGGAAGGGAGTCCTACTCCCGGTAGGAGTAGGACTCCTCCTGCGCCACCTCCTCCTGGCCGGCGCCTCCTCCCCCCCTTGGCTCCTTTATATACGGAGGCAGGGGCACCTCTAAACACACAAGTTGACACAAGTTGATCCACATGATCGATTCCTTAGCCGTGTGCGGTGCCCCCTGCCACCATATTCCTCGATAATACTGTAGCGGAGTTTAGGCGAAGCCCTGCTGCTGTAGTTCATCAAGATCGTCACCACGCCGTCGTGCTGACGAAACTCTTCCCCGACACTTTGCTGGATCGGAGTCC